GCTCCACGGCTGCCTGTGGAGAAGGGTTGTAGCTCTCCTTTTCCCAGGAATAAACACATCCCAAACGGGATGGGGGAGCAGGACACAGTAGGACATGCAGCCTACAGCTTTGGACAAGAGCTGGGACACAGGGGAGATGATGGGACATGGGTGGAGGACACGTGTAAGGTCATGCGTGTAGGACACACAGCCTACAGCTTTGGACAAGAGATGGGACACAGGGGAGATGGGACATGGGAGACAGGACATGGGGAAGATGGGACACTGGAGAGATGGGACGGGTGGGGGACACTGGAGAGATGGGACAGGTGGGGGACACATGTAAGGACATGTGTGGAGGACACGTTAAGGACAGGTGTGTAGGACACACAGCCTACAGCTCTGGACAAGAGATGGGACACAGGGGAGACGGGACATGGGAGAGATGGGACATGGGTGGAGATGGGACATGGGTGGAGATGGGACACAGGAGAAGGGACATGGGGGAGATGGAACATGGGTGGAGATAGGACACAGGGGAGATGGGACATGGGGGAGATGGGACATAGGTGGAGATGGGACACGGCGGAGATGGGACACGGCGGAGATGGGACACGGCGGAGATGGGACAAATAGGAAGGGATGAAGGATGCACTTATGCAGGCAAAGGGAAGGAGGCATGTGAACAGCTGGTGTCCATGGCCAACAGAAGCCTGAGAACACGTCAAGCACTGGGTACCACCACCAGCAACACCAGAAAGGAAGAGCTCACCACCATGTGTGTGACTGCAGCGGGTCACAACTCCATCCTGTAGTCCTGCCCTATGGATAAGGTTTAAAAAACAAGCCCTCCCCTCGCAAAGCTGAAAGCATCTCAGCTGCCACCACTCACTGTGCTCGCAGAGGGGCCCGTAGTGGCCGGCGGGGCAGCGGCAGGCTCCTGTCCCCGGGTCGCAGGTGGCATTGTGCTGGCAGGAGCAGTGGAGCTGGCAGTTGGCACCGTACCTTCCCGGCGGGCATTCTGTAGGAACAAAGTGGTGGCAGAGATGCTCAGCATCCAGAGAGCCGTTCCCGACCCCTCTCCTGCCCTTTTAGAGGGCAAATAAGGCAGAATAGGCACCGTTGGGGACAACAGAAGCTGGACCCAGTATGAAACTGAGTGAGCTCCACAGTTACTGGGCCAGGGCAGGACAATGTATTCAAGTCGGGTTTTTTTTTTACCTAATTCGCAGGATTTCCCCGTCCACCCGAGCGCACACGAGCAGGAGCCATCAGCTGCATCACACAGCCCCCCGTTGAGGCAGGAGCAGGTCTGCTGGCACCCCAAACCATAGTGGTGCTCCTCACAGCCTGTGGGGAGAGAGGCAGTGGCCGTGGGCACGTGGGCCACCATGTGGCTCGGGCAGAAGCCCCCAAGCACCTGCAGAGGTCTCCAGGTGAGGAAATCATTTCCTGCCCAGGACCTCATTTACCTCGCTCACAGGAGGGACCAGTTCTTCCCGGTGGGCAAACGCAGTCTCCGGTGACAGGGTGACAGGTAGCATTGTCCCCACAGGAGCACAGCCCTGCACAGTCCCTGCCGTAACGACCAGCGGGACATCCTGGGGGTGAGGAAGACTCCGGTCACGCCAAAGCACAGCTGGTAGAGTCTGAGGGCTGGTGGGGAAGGACTTTGGCCGATGGAGCAGAGCAACGGGGTGGCAGGAGGAGCCTGCAGCCCCACCACCAGCACATGGGGTGGCCAGCAGGGCAGGGAAAGGGCTTTTAGGATTTAGGAGCGGGGCTTTTTTAGCAGAGAGGAAGCAGCGCTGTGATGGGACAATGCCAAGGCTGGCGTGTCAGGCTTTTCCTAGTGGAGAAATTGTTTTGGCATGAAACAAATCATGGAATCATGGAATTGTCAGAATTGGAAGGCACCTCTAGACATCATCCAGTCAACTCCCCGGCCAAAGCAGCGTTGCCAAGAGCACATCACTCAGGGGCATCCAGGTGGGGCTTGAAGATCTCCAGAGAAGGGGACTCCACACCCTCCCTGGGCAGCCTGTTCCAGGGCTCCGTCACCCTTACCCCAAAGAAGTTTTTTCTTATATTTGAATGGAACTTTCTATGTTCCAGCTTGAGCCTGTTGCCCCTTGTCCTATCGCTGGAAACCACTGAAAAGAGTCCGGCTCCAATGTCCTTCAACTCACCCTTTAGATACTTATAAACATAAGTATCGCTTATCCAGGCTAATGATATAGCAATTAAATGTTTCCCGGGTTAAGACAGACAGCAAAGAGATCAGCTGCAGCTCCCTCCCCACAGTAAGGCTGGATGTAGGTACAGGGAGGGCATTGCTGAGAGCTCAGGCTGTAGAGTGAGACAAGGAGCTCCTTTTCTGCTGCTCTCATCTCCTTTTGATGCAGGTCACGGTAACACACCTCATCTCCCGCGGGGTCCGCAGGGGGCTGCGTGCAGGATTTGCACCTCCTGCCATTCCCCTGTCCCTGGGGAACCCCCTGGAGCTGCTGTCCCCTCCCCGGGGGACCCGGGCACTCACCCACGCCGCAGTCGGCACCGATGTAGCCGGGGGGGCAGTGGCACATCCCCGTGGCAATGTCACACTGGCCCCCGTTCTTGCACTTGCAGGGTCTCTCACAGTTGTGGCCGTACCACCCAGGGGAGCACTCTGTGGGGGGAGGAAAAAAAACAGGGAAACAATGGCCTTGGTGCCTAAAAAGATGAGAACAAGGGAGTTTTCCAGCAAAATCCCTGGAAAAACCCACCTGGTGGGTTCAAACAGCCATTTCATGGGGTGGGTTTGTGCCAGGCTGGCACAGTCGCTGGGCAATAGTCTGCTTGGTGGCACAAACCCAAGTCAAACAGCTACAGAAACACACCAAGGGTGTGCAAATTATGCTTGTGCATCCCTTGCATGAGCAGATTGTGTGGGATGTGACCCCTACACCATAGACATCACAAGCTCCTGTGAGCTCCATGCTCGGGTGCCTCTGCCCTGGTGGGGCACATTGAAGTGCAGGAATGTGAGAGCTGCTGCGAGGGGTCGCCTGTTCAGCAGGAGTCAAAGAAAAGCCCAGAAAACACTTATAAATAACCCCCTGGCAAACAAGCCACAACGCCAAGGAGCTTCGGAGCGTTCAGAACCTCTCTGCTGAAGATATAGCTGGGAAATATTAAAAAAAAAAAAAAAAAGGCCAAAAAAATGGCCTGAGGGCAGATGAGAATGATGTTTTGTTTACATGAACTACTCCTACTTGGGAATGAGTCACTGAGGGACACCACAGAGGTCACAGCCTGGCTTGGACCAGGGAGCAAGAAAGCACTTGCCTGGACAGACTGCGCTGCGAGAGCTGGGCAATGGTCACGAGCAGAACAACAAAAAGACCTTGGCCAAGCCAGTGAGGACAAAGGTGACCACGGCAAGACACCAGGAAGGACAACCCATCTTTGAAGCCACCCCAGCAAGCTGAGGTTTCTCTGGTGGCCAACTCAGCACCATCCCCACATCAGGGGGACATGGTTCTGTGCGTTGGGGATGAAGCACAGCCTTGGTCCCTGCAAAGGTCCACCCAGCAGAAGAGGACCCACGCGTGGACTCACCCAGCTGGCAGGTGGGTCCGTGGAAGCCGGGGGCACAGATGCAGGCCCCTGTGACCGGGTGGCACTCCTGGGTGGCTCCAGCACACTGGCAGATCTGCTCACAGCCCTCCCCAAAGGTCCCGGGCAGGCAGGCTGTCGGGAGAGAGGACACAGAGGGGGCTCAGATTGGCTTAGAGGGAGCAATCCCACCCCTCTGTGCAAGCCCTTTTTTTTCCCCTTTCTATTTTAAGCCAGGATTTAGGAAGTCTTTTATGACAGTGAAAGTTCTCTGCCACCCAAAAAGCAAAGGGACCCCCATGCAAACAGTTCCTCGACCCCATTAAAGTCCTGGATTGAAAATAAAACTGTACTTAATGGCATCAGACACCTTTTGCCCTACCTACCCTCACATCCCCGCCAGCTCCATCCCCCCAGACACGGCAAATACACCCCTGTCCCCCGGGGGAGGAATGCACTCACATGCCTCTGCCTCCTCCAGACTTGCTCCTACCCACAGGAGCTCATTTTAATACTGATTTATTGCTAATCCTCTGGATAAATACAGAGCTCTGATTTCCCACTTGGCTCCCTGCGCTTCGCTAACATTCTGTGGGCATGCACCCAGCTGCCAAAACGTGAGCTGCTCCTCTTCACAGCTCGCCGGTGGGGCTTTTTTTTGTTGTTGTTGTTATTCTTTTTTGTTTAACTTTCTGTAGCGATTGCTTGACCCGTCATGTTCCCAGAGCCTGTCAGCAGAACTGTAAGAGGATCACTCCCTTCTTCTCGTACGTTTTTCACATCCAGAGCCCGTGAAGCCCGGCGGGCAGCCGCACCGGCCCGTGACGTGATGGCAAGGCACTCCCCGGGGACAGGCACAGCGGCTGGCACAGCTCTTCCCGAAGAAACCCGGCAGGCAGGCTGCAGGAAAACAGGCAAGTGAGTCCCCTGGCTGGCTTTCAAATTAGTGTTAATGCCTGAAAGGTATCAGAGCCTCAGGGCCAGCTCCTGCCCCCAGCACCTGGCCCGCCTGCCATGGGGTGCTGAATCAGCACTTCTTGCAGAAACCCCAAACCTTTTTCATGGCAGGCTGTCAGCTCCCCAAAATGTTTTGCCACAATTTGTACCTCTTATTAAAAATTAAGTTTCTCTCCGTCCCAGGCTCTAGAAGGAGCAAGGGATGCTGGAGGCTGTGCTGCTGGAGGGATGGTGAGGGATGGAGGGATAGAGGGATGGTGAGGAATGGAGGGATAGAGGGATGGAGGGATGGTGATGGATGGAGGGATGAAGGGATGCTGAGGGATGGAGGAACGCTGAGGGATGCTGAGGGATGGAGGTATGGTGAGGGATGGAGGGATGGAGGGATGGTGAGGGATGGAGGTATGGTGAGGGATGGTGAGGGATGGAGGGATGGTGATGGATGGAGGGATGAAGGGATGCAGAAGGATGGAAATGGAGGGATGGAGGGATGGTGAGGGATGGAGGGATAGAGGGATGGAGGGATGGTGAGGGATGGAGGGATGGTGAGGGATGCTGAGGGATGGAGGGACACTGAGGGATGGAGGGACACTGAGGGATGCTGAAGGATGAAGGGATGCTGAGGGATGGTGGGATGGAAGGATGCTGAGGGATGCTGAGGGATGGAGGGATGCTGAGGGACGGAAGGATGGAGGGATGCTGAGGGATGGTGGGATGCTGAGGGATGGTGGGATGGAAGGATGCTGAGGGATGCTGAGGGATGGAGGGATGCTGGGGGATGGAGGGATGGAAGGATGCTGGCTCACCTTTCTCACAGCGCCGGCCCCTCCAGCCACGGGGACAATCGCAAACGCCAGTGACGTGATGGCAGGAGACATTGTCCCCACAGTCACAGTGCTCTTCACAGCGTGCCCCAAACAGCCCCTCCGGACAAGCTTCGGTGATGCAAACACAGGAGAGAGGATGAGTTAGCCCAAGAAGGTGACATGGCTCTTTTTCACTGCAGTTCCTGTAGGCACACACTTCACTATTCATGTCCCTTTCATCCCTGCCAAGCCAGAGCAGTGCTGTGACAAGATGGGTGACATCTGCCAGCTGGGGATGGCAGTCCCTCTCTGCCCCATGGCACGTAGGGCGTGGGGAACCACTGCATGGCACGGAGCTGCACGATGTGCAGGAGCACCAGTGGCTCAGCAGCAGCATCGGCCACATCTGCCCCAAGTGTGAAGCATCATCTAATTCAGCATGAAAGTCTTTTTTAACCGTGCCACGTGTTTTTGGAAGTGCATTTCCTGGCCCTGTTTAATGAGAGCTGGGTGCCAGCACAGTGTATTCAAATCACAGCAGCAAGCATTTAGTTTTGCTGCCGCTTCTGTTGTCATAGAAGCACCCGGTTCCTAAAGCAGCTCCAAGACAAGGTGTGCAAGTACCAGAATTACACAGAAGGTGTAATTCCAGCCCTAAAGATTGTGAACCTGATTTTCACTTCTGCTTCATGAATGAATGCAAAAAGAAAAACCCCAGTAAGTCCCTGTACAAGTCTCCAAACAGGCTGCTTGGCCACGCAAGAGGAGTGGGATGAGCGTGGCCAAGTGTGGGTGCTCGGTGCACGCAGCCAGGCGGGTGTTCACACGCACACACAGCTCGAAACACAGCTCTGTGGGAAGCCAAGGAGAGGATGAAGTCCCTGTTGCTGCTCATAATAGGGCCAAGAGCCTTTTCAACACTTCCTCATAGCAAGGGGATTGCCAGGGTACGCGTTACGTTTAAAGATAAGGTGCACCCAGGAGCCTGCCGAATGATACGTGTCATTATTTGCTGGGGCTCGGGACTGAAACCAGGCATTTTGGGTCAGTGTAACACAGGGAAGCGCAGGAGGAAGAATGGAATCATAGAATCATAGAATCATAGAATTGCCCAGGCCAGAAGGGACCTCCAAAGGCCATCTAGTCCGACCCCCCCGCAGTCAGCAGGGACACCCCCAACTAGACCAGGTTGCCCAGGCCCTCGTCGAGCCTCGCCTTGAATATCTCCAGGGAAGGGGCCTCAACCACCTCCCTGGGCAACCTGTTCCAGGGCTCCACCACCCTCACAGTGAAGAACCCTCTCCTCATCTCCTAATCTCCTCCTCCTGGAAAGGAGGTGATCTTTGGGTACTCTTAAAATAAATGGGACAGAGGAAGACTGTCCCTGCCCATGGCAGGGGGGTTGGAATTCGATGATCTTTGAGGTCCCTTCCAACCCAAACCATTCTATGATTCTATGATGATTCTAAGACCTTCACTTGGCATTTTGGTTTCACTCTGGTGCAGACGGTGGGGTGGGGGAATTGCTGCCCTGCTCGGACCCTATGGCTTGGATTCCAACCCTAACCATTCTACGATTCTATGAAGACCTTCACTTGGCATTTTGGTTTCACCCTGGTGCAGATGGTGGGGTGGGGGAATTGCTGCCCTACTTGGACCATACGGCTTTGCACAGCTTGGGGACCTGTGCCCTTGGGGACCCCAGCCCTCTGACACGGGTACCATTGCTGGAGGCTGTGCACCATCATTTTTAGGGCAGCCCTCAAAGGAAAGCAGAAAGCACAGCAGTGGGCAAACGCAAGAATTCTAACATCTGTGAGCTCTCCCTGCGGAGCTGAAATCTGTATTTTATGTTTTTGCTTAAACCCCCCATCCCCCGTCCCCCAGGGCAGCAGAGGGACCTGTGCCCTTGGGGACCCCAGCCCTCTGACACGGGTACCATTGCTGGAGGCTGTGCACCATCATTTTTAGGGCAGCCCTCAAAGGAAAGCAGAAAGCACAGCAGTGGGCAAACGCAAGAATTCTAACATCTGTGAGCTCTCCCTGCGGAGCTGAAATCTGTATTTTATGTTTTTGCTTAAACCCCCCATCCCCCGTCCCCCAGGGCAGCAGAGGTACCCACGGGGAGCATCCCCACTTACGGCTCTGGCACTCGTGGCCGGTCCAGCCGGGCTGGCAGAGGCAGTGGCCCGTCCGGTGGTCGCAGAGCCCCCCGTGCTGGCACTGGCAGCGCTGCCGGCAGCCGGCCCCGTGCTGGCCCTGTGGGCACTCTGGGAGGAGGCACAGGGTGAAACGCTGCCCTGACACCCCCCCACACCCACTCCCAGGAGGAAAATGAGTCCAAAACAAGACAAATTGGTGCCAGAGGATGTTTCCCGGGGTGGCTGGCACATTGATACTCACCCAGCTCGCAGGCCAGCCCCGTCCAGCCCTCGGGGCAAGCGCAGAGCCCCGTGGCGGGGTCACACGTGCCACCGTTTTGGCAGAGGCAGCGCTGGTGGCAGCTCCTCCCGTAGAAACCCACCGGGCACGCTGTGGGAATAAAACAGGCCAAACATCCCCATCAGAACACGGGGCCAAAGGCAAACCCCACGTCTCTGGTAGCCAGAGCCAGAAGGAGACAGCCTGATCTAAAACAAAGCTGTGATTGTGTGCGATGAGAGGCGGGGAGAGGAGCCAACAACACCCTGAGGCTGCTTAGCTGCCCACACAAGGATGTCTGGTATTTTAACCTGCCCAGGTAAGAGGTGGTGACACAGGGCACTGGGTGCACGATCCCTTCAGAGCCTTCTTAGCTCCTTTGTGGTGGCAAATACACAAGAGGAGAAAGGCTGGGTGAGTTCAGCAGCCAGGAGAGATGCTCAGCTGGCAGCCCTCGCTCCTGAGCTGCAGAACACAGACCCAGAGAGTGCCAGCCTTTGGCAGGGAAAAAAAAAGCCATTTAACCACATGAATAATTGTTCTCACGGGCACAGTTTCACTGAGCTGTGACTAAAGACATGACAAACTTGGTGTCTGGGTGCAGTGAACGATCGAGCTATTACTCCATGTCCATGAAACTGCAAATCAGTGCAATTGCTGGTGCTCTTGGAGAAGGCAACCTCTTGGCTTCCCTCGGCGTGACTGAATCTGGCCTTGCTATCTGTCGTCATAGAAGCACCCGGTTCCTAAAGCAGCTCCAATCTGGCCTTGCTCTCCTACTGGCTCTGCTTTTTGGAGCTGCTGCTCCATTGAAAACTCCCACCCACCCCGAGAAACAGAGGAGGGCTGGCAGAGGAAGGGAAGAGGGGGCTGGGTGAGGAAGGGACCGTGGAGGCACATTAATTACCTTCTTGGCACGTGGGTCCCGTCCAGCCGGCCGCGCAGAGACACTGCCCGCTGACGTGGTGGCAAGTGGCATTATTGAAGCAGTTGCAGGTCTGGCTGCAGTCCTGGCCGTAGCGGCTCTCCTGGCACGCTTCGTGGGAGCAGAAGCAGGCACGAGACTGTTAGGCAGCAGGTACGAACCGCATCAGCCAGATTCCTACTAACCAGCCCCAAAAAACGCATCTCTCTGGGAGAGGAACCAGCAGCGGTGCCTGGGTGCTCGGGATGGCTGTGCAAGTTGGGTTTTAGGGTTTTATGGGGAGACAACAGCTGTATTCTACAGGCGGCTGACACCCGAACACAGACACTGTTGTTATTGATGTTACATCATCTTATCTGTTTGGAAACTGTCTTGCTGGATGCCCAAGCCCTTAACGCATTCAACAGCGATGTGCTCCCAGCCAGACCTCCCCCGGTCCTGCTCCAAAACCACATCCTTCTCTGCCACACAGAATTAACTTCCATGCAGAGAAATGGCCGTGGGGAACAGATAATTAAAACTTTGGGCTCTACGACTGAGCAGCGCTGGAGATGGTGAGGGATCTGGAGTGTCTCATGGAGGGGTGCTCCAGCCTTGCTCCATCCCATCCCATCCCATC